AAAAAAATGTCAGATATTGTACGTATTAGAAAAAAAAGCTTCATTATTAAATATAATATCTACCGACACTTTAGGTAAAGAATTTCTATATGTAAGTAATAAAATAAATAAAATTTCTGTATGTAAGATAATAAATGGATAGATTATACTAGAAACGAAATTATAAAGAATAATTTAAACGAATTATTTCAGATAGAATTACATTAATTTCTCGAATAAAATCGTAAGAGATCTATTACCAGAGATGATTCATTTTTCAAGCGACAAGATCGCCGTACGATTTACTTACTTTTCTTTTTTTTTTTCCACCAGGAAATAGATTCGCAATCGTCGAGTTGAAAACGGAAACAGAGATTGGATCACGTTGCGAATCGAGATGCAGCATCGACGTGCCAAAAATGTCTTACTATCGCGACTCTATTTTGGTCAATGACTCCATTCCCTCTTTCTCTCTCTTTCTCTTTATTTATTTATCTATCTTTCCCGGTCGAGATATATCCGACTTTTGGCAAAAAGTCGAACTTCAAATTTCACATTTCTCGCTTATCTCAACGTCGATATCCACTTCCGTTCCTTTTAAAATTCCAAAAACATTTCATATTTTTTTTCCAAAATTTTCCTCTTTTTTCCTCGGCCTTTTCAAACTTTTTCTTATTACCCTCTTATTCTGGACAATTAGAAAAGGGATTAAAATTTAAGATAGCAGGATAGCAAAAGTTCAAAGGGATACAAACTCGATTTCATTTTTCTATCTTCATCCATCCATTGATATTTCCTTTGAGCACGTACGTAAATATACATACATATGTGCTGGCCAGGGGCAGGGGGGGGCAGGAGAGAGAGAGAAAAAAACAGAAAGAGAGAGACAAAAACACGAATGCGGTAAAAGAACCGTCGATCGATCGATCGATCGATCGATAATCAAAGTGAAAGCCGGCGTATAAAAGGTCGAACGACCCAAAGCGAGCGAGGGTGAGAAAGAAAAAGATAAAGAGAAAAAGAGAAAGAGAAGAGGTGTATCGAAGGGTAGAGAGAGAGAGAGAGAGAGAGAGAGAGAGAGAGAGAGAGAGAGAGAGAGAGAGAGAGAGAGAGAAGAGGGAGAGAGAGTAGTACTCGATATGGCTGATCGATGAAAGGGTAGTTTCACCAAAGTTTTCCTCTCTATATAGATATACACGTTATATTTAACCGACTACTGTGAATGAAAAACTGTAAAGGACGCGAAAACGAATAATGGACGAGAGTAAAAGGTCGAGAACGTGATCGTTCCGCATCGAGAGAAAAAGTGAAAGAAAGAGAAAGAAGGGAAGAAGGGAGCAGCTGGGTGGTCGCAGAGGGGAGGAAAAAGTAACGAAAAAAGTGGGAGGGTGGTAGGATGGGGAGAAGAGGAAAGTGAAGTAAAGAAGAAAGAAAAAATAAAGTTTCTCTCTGAACTATCGTCTAACTTTGAGACTCTCTCGCTCGTTCGTTCTTCTCTCTCTCTCTTTTTTTTTTCGATGGCAAATATTTTTCTCTCCTCTTGTTTGTTCCGGCTGATTAATATCGTTCTTATATCGAAAGAGAGATTTCTCGTTCGGGAAACTCGAAGACAAACATTTCCTTGGATGAAAAGATGAATAATAATAATAATAATAATAATAATAATAATAATAATAATAATAATAATAATAATAATAATAATAATAATAATAATAATAATAATAATGATGATGATGATGATTGTTTGCGTAGAAGATTCTATAAAAGTTGTATCCAATTTTTCTTAGGTAATAAAAAAATATACCTCTGTGGTTCTCGAAACATTTGTTCTAGATACTATTAAGAAAGTTTCCGTTCGACGTCAGAAAAAAAAAAAAAGAAAAAAGGAAAAAGGACAAGAAAAAAAAACTATGGTAAAATGAGTTAAGACGATTATGATAATAACGAGGATAACAACAACAGATACAAATAGCGTGGGATAAAAGTGAAGTGTGCGTGTGTGTGAGAGAGAGAGAGAGAGAGAGAGAAAGAGATCAGCAATAATGTCGATTTCTTGCACTGCCGTGCGAGAAATCGTTCGGTCTGGCCCGAATAATAAAGATCAAAGAACGAGAAATAGCAGGTTAGCGAACTCGTTCGGAAGCAACTCGTGGCAACGCGCGTGAGTTTAGCCGGTTAAACATGGCGTGCGGGTTAGTATGTACAACCAGAGAAAGAGAGAAAGAGAGAGAGAGAGAGAGAGAGAGAGAGAGAGAGAGAGAGAGAGAGAGAGAGAGAGAGAGAGAGAGAGAGAAGGAACAACCTTTAAAAATAGTCCTAATCGTTTCTAAGTCGGTCCGGTTTACGAAAGCGCGTGGAACGGGCATGGCTTCCGGGAAGCCAAGTCTTCTCTCTTCTGACGCGAATAAAAGTCCTTGGAAATAGTGTATCCCAACACGGTGGGAATTCTAGTTAGCCGATAAATAAGCCGTTAGTTTAAGGTTTTAGAAAAATTAGAAATGATTAGTATGTTGCTTTACGGTTACAGTATATCTTACGATTACTGTATCTCTAAAAAATATATATCAATTAATTTTTTAATAATAATCTTAAAAGTTTATAAAAATCTCGGCATTTAAAGATTAAAGCGCACTTTTAAAAATATCATTCGAATAAACAAGGGTGCAAATTGTATAGAAATTTGTTAGATTTTTACGGACAATCAAAAAGCAAAAAAAAATCGTACAAACCATGTATACAAATTGTTTGATTTACAATGAAATTTTATATAATGTTTATGTAAGCAAGCGTACCAACGTTAATAATTTTATTTTCTCAATAATTCGTATTCTCTCTCTCTCTCTCTCTCTCTCTCTCTCTATCTCTCTCTCTCTCCATGTCTCTAAACTTTTCTGTAAACGTTTCAAATAGAATTTATTCTTGGATTTGTTAAAATTAAATTAGTAAAATTTTATTATTCAAAAATCGAAAGGGACTATAACTAACTTTGGATGAAAAATTTAATAGTCGGTAAATCATAATATATTCTATTCCGGGTTTAAAATAAAATTTATTCTCGTATTTCTCCTGAGTTTGGCAAAATTTGTCATTATTCTAATCGAAATGGGATTTGGATCAAAAATTTGACGAACTTACGAGAACTACCTCCTACGTTAATAGAGGACTAAATTCATCTTCTGTAACTATTATTATCAATATATATACTTTTTAAATATATATTTTTATTCTTGCATGTACTTGTTAGATATATCTATATCTACGTACAAAAGATAACGACCAATTATAGAAACTTTCCAATTCAGAGATTATTTCCGCCGATTAAGAAGAATTTCCCCCACTCCTCATTTCTTGCGATAATATATATATACATGCATATACACACAAAGAGAAAAAAATTAGGACGATACGTTGGAATTTGAACCCAAATCGCAAATTTCACAATCGATAAACTTATCCGATCAGCGTTACATACGTACGTATGTAATACTTTATTATTCCGATTCTTTTTATATCCTTTTTATTTTATTTTTTTCTGCGTGTCACCAATTCAAACAGAATTTATATTATTTTACAGAAAGTTTAAACAAAATTATATTATTCGAAATCGAAAAGGCAGAGAAAGATTGACGTAACCATGTCGCATAATCGAAGTAGAATTTCCATAAAATTCGCGAGTTTTATCGAAGGGAAGAAGAGAAGAAAGGCGTCCGTTCTTTAACTGAGGTCGAAAGAGCCATCGAGATATTCGCTTTCGCAAAAGCCTTCCTTCCCTTTCTTATTCGCGAGTTTAACGTATATATGTATCGTAAATCCATAAACAACTCGCGCCGTTTATTCTACGGAAGATAACTCTGTCGATTTTCCTTTGTCTCTCTCTCTCTTACTCGTTTGTAACATAGTACGAAATCCTCCAATAGCAGACTCTCTCTCTCTCTCTCTATCTCGCTTGTTTGTAACAGAGTATAAAATCCTCCAATAGCAGACTCTCTCTCTCTCTCTCTCTCTGTTTTTCTCTTTCTCTCTCATTCTCCATCTTTGTTCTCAGTTTCTCTTCTTCCTTTTGCCTTCGTTCTTATCGTTTTGTTCCCTTTTCCCCCGAGATTTCCGTAAACACGCACTTGGCTACCGTCCAATCGGAAAATGGATGCACATTATTCACCAAATCGCGATGGGCAAAGAAACGCGAACGACAAAGACAGAGAGAAAGGAGAAAGATGGATGATAGAATCTGATGTTTCTACTCTTTCTCTATTTCTCTCTCTCTCTCTCTCGTGAACTTTCTTCTTTGCCCTTAGAAACTATTTCGATGGAGAACAACAACAAGACCTTGCTCCAAAAAAGAAATTTGGCTCGTTTATCCGAAACTTTCATTTCTTCTATCTTTTTATATTTCGCTCCGGATGGGTTGAATCCATTTCGTAGAACGTTTCTTTCTTTCGGTAAAAAAGTTCATTTTCTTTTACGTTTATTTTTATTTTTTAGACGATTGGAAACAAACGACAACAAGTTTAATCGAATTTCGGACGATATAGATATATGCACGTTTTTGCATAAAAATAGCAGTCTTGGGCGATTATAATCTCATTTTCAATTTTATTTATATTAAAAGCCATAAAGATACGATAAAGAGAGAGAGAGAGAAAGAGAGAGAGAGATTATTTGTTTGTTCGACTTTGGATTTTACTTATCTCTCGCTCGTTGTACGCACGATGAAAGACTTACTTGCGTAAGGCCACCGTCGCCAACGACGACAAGAATATCGTTGACGGTCGAAAAAGACACGCGGTTAACAAATGCAAAGCACGAAGGGAAAAGAGAGAGAGAGAGAGAGAGAGAGAGAGAGAGAGAGAGAGAGAGAGAGAGAGAGAGGGAAAGAGAGAGAGACGTTATATTCTTAGCGATAGGAGCTTTCAAATATCGATCGAGAGACATTTAAAAAATAGCAAAATAAATAACAACAAAATTTGATAATGATAAAATTACATTTATTTCGTTTCTTTTTTTTCCTATCTATCTCTCTATCTCTCTATCTCTACTTTTTCTTTATCCGTATGTATATCTCTTCGTCTTTCATACATACATGCAAATTAGTTAGGGATATTCCAAATGCGAAATTATTTCACTCTCGTCGGCTCGGGATCGCAGCCAAGTGAGATTTCTCTCTTTCATCTTCCACCACGAATTCCGCACGATCCATGCAAGCGTGCGTGCGCGCGCGCTTCCAACACACACGGACAGACGGAGAGACATTCCGTTTTAGAGAGCGCCCATTTATAAACGAGTTACGACTATAACCAATTATTACATACCGTAGTAAAATCTCTCGGGTTTATTTTCATTTCATTATTAACTTTTTATCGGTCTTTCCCCTGGCTATATATGTATTTTTATGCCACGTCCATCCCGTTACAACGTTGCTTTTACTTTTCTTCTTTTTTCTTTTCTCTTTCTTTTTTTTTTTTTTTTTTGTATATATATGTTCTTTTTTCTTTTGTTCTCTTTATCACCAAAGTGTGCACTCTTCTATTTCTTTCTTTTTTTCTTCTTCTCTTTTTATTCATTTATTTATTTAATTCAATTTCATTTCATTTTATTTCTAGTACTCGGTTTCTCAACTCTCACAGAAATAGATTATAGACTTTGTCTACTCTTTCTGTCTATATCTATCTCTCTCTGACGATAGAAAGAGTTTTTATAATATAATAAACATTCAAACGTTGATATTGTATATGTACACACATACACACAGTTTTATATATATATACATATATATATATACATGTACTTAAATCCAAAGGAGAAAGACATTTTTTGTACTTCGTGAAATATCACGAACGGTAACGACGCGACGAAAACAAAGTATGTTTCTCGACAAATTTACAACGCTCGACAGACAATAGAAAGTGTATGTATATGTTTGTACGAGAGAGAAAGATAGGGAAAAAGAAAAGTGGGATATAGTTGCTTAGATCAACAAGAAAAGCTACGTTTATCCGTAACGATTCTCTACGAACGAACCATAAATATATAGTACATCTTCGAAAGTCGTATAAATTTGTATAGAATATATCTACTTAACGTCAAAGTTCACAGTTCGCATTCAACAACGTTAAACAAACAGAAGTTATTTTTTTTCCCGAAAGGTAACTAAGTATATGCACATCATACATACATATATATACATACATAGAATGTTTTCTTGATTTCATGATTAACTCAAGTAAGTATCTACATATGTAAATATATATCTATTTATTTAATCTTGCATAATTTACTTTTGGACGTTTCAAACTTGTCTAAGATATGTATATACATATCTTATACAAAGAGACGCAAGAAATAGAGTAAGCGAGAGAAATAGAGAGATAGAGATAGAGGGAAAGAGAGATATTAAAGGGATTACGCAATTTCATATTTACCCGATACAAATCGTGTTACTCGTACTGACCGAATCAACGAAGAACTATAATCCTTTCCTTTCTCACATGCATATATATATATATATATATATATATATATATATATATATATACACATATACATAAAGTTAAAGTAATACGAATGAAGAAGAGCAAGAGGAGGAGAAGAAGAAGATATATAGTGAGCAGGATTACGCGTTTTTATGCATGTACGTAACAACGTACGTATACACAATACACACATACATACACGACGACACGCACGCATTGAGAACGCTCAGCCTACAGCGGTTTTATGACCCGTTTCTTCAATGGCATTGCTTATAAGAGAGTATCACGATAAGCCGGACTTCTCGTTATATATACGACGAGTTCGTACACGACCACGACCACGAAAGACCACGACGACGACAACGACGAGTCGAAGAGAACGCGTACAACCGGCTTTTATTTTTTTTATTGTTCTTTTTTTTTCTTTTTTTTTTTCTTTTTTTTTTTTCTTTTTTTTTTTTCACTAGCGACCAACGAACGAACGAACGAACGAACGAACGAACGACGGCTGCTTTATTTTAGTCGGATGTGTTTGAAGATAGCCGATATGAGAGAAGAGAGAGATAGACAGAGAGAGGAGGAGACGAATTTTTTACGATAACGCGACGACCCACTGCATCTGTCTTTCTCCCTCCTTTGATAACGACGATAAGATAAAAGAATGAGCGAGCGGGCGAGCAAGAGAGAGAGAGAGAAAAAAGTTGAGAGATATCAATTTTTATGCGGAACGATCAGACGGATAAGAAGAGATTCGCGTGAGGAATGTGAGAGCAAAAGATAGAGAAAGAGAGAAAGAGAGAGAGAGAGAGAGAGAGAAAGAGATGACTCCTTCGACCTTCGGACTCGAGTCACGAGGCCGACGCTTCGAGAGTCGAGAGATATACTATATATTTCTTAATACGTATGTACGCGTGCGCATTTGTAGGTGTATACGTGTGTAGTATGCGTAAAAAAAAAGAGAGAGAGAAGGCAGATGGTATATGAGAATCAAGTAATGTTCTCGTTCTCTCTTTCTCTGTAATTACTCGACGAGGAAACGAAGATCCGTTCGCTGACTGCTCCTAGGTCGTGGTTTCGTCTGGGTTTATATAGAGAGAAACCAATCCACCATGGTGTAACACACATCTACATATATATACGTTAAATACTTATGGGTGTGTGTTTGTAACATCGTGAATCCGTGTACGTATACATGAATGCGTATTCTATATGCATATATGCCGCGTGAATTCTCCAACGATCAACGCGGACTGGATAATTACTTTCACATGTTAGCCTCTCGCGGTAACTCCCAGAACAAATTACGTTCGTGCATACACGTGGTGCCGCTTGCTGCTCGGCGAAACAAGACACACGTCGCGTAACGCGCCGATTAATATCATAAGAGAGAGAGAGAGAGAGAGAGAGATAGACGAAGAGCCGTTAGAGAAAGTACGCTAGTCGCCATTTTGGTGTACGACTTTAATGTACGCGAAACATCGACTTTATTCTCTATCCCTTTCTTCTTATTCCATTTCGTAATTATCTAGGAAGAAAAGAAAGAAAAACGTTTAAGCGGATCGTCGCTTGTTATAACACATATACGATCGAAGTATCGAAAATTAAAAGAAAAAAAAATTGTGTTTTTATCTTCTTCATGGACTTTCTATAATTCTTTCATATTGCTATTATTATATTATTACTTTTTTTTTCTTTTTGTTAATTCAACGAAAGAAGAAGAGAAAGGATGATAAAAACGTTGAAAGGATCATCACTGATATATGATTCGAATAGGATAAAAATTCTTGTTCATCTTTAACGTGATACTCTAATCTTATGATTTTTTCTTAAAAAAAAAAAAAAAAAAAAAAAAAAAAAAAAGTCAGAGAGCAACGACGATAAAAACATTAAAAGGATAATTACTGATCCTTAACAATAAATATATACATATATAAATACTTATTTCACAATATATTCCTTAACTTTTCCTTTCTGATTTGTTCAATACTTAACAAAAAACAAATTGATAATAAATGAATAAAAAATATATATAAAAAAAATAGAGCAAGGACATGATGACGGGTTGAAAAAATTTTCCACGAGAAGTCGTCGTCGTCGTCGTCGTCGTCGTCGTCGTCGTCGTCGTTCTGAGGTTAACATTCCAAACGACATCCACATCTACATCTATATTCACAAGCAGGGCGCAACGGTGGTAGTAACAGCCACCGTCAGTGGCGATCCGTCGCGTTAATGAATTCATAGATTACGCAAGCGAAAGATACGTACGGAGGACAAAGCGAGAGAAACCTCTCTATTGACCTAGATCGTGGCCCCGTCCGTCGTCGTCGTCGTCGTCGTCGTCGTCGGCCACGTTGCGTGCAACTAGCCGATTGTAAAATATGTGGACTCTCTTCTCCACCACTACCAATCCCAACGACGACTACTACTACTACTACTACTACTACTACTACTATTACATTGCCATCTTATTTCTCTTTTATCTCTCTTTCTCGCGTGCAAACTTCTACTTCCTTCTCTCTCTTTCTCTCTCCTGCTTCTTCAGACTCGAAGAGACACGACGCAGCGACGGCAACCGGTAGAGCCAGTTACCGGAGAGGATATTTGCGGTTGTGATTCAGCGCTGCTCCCAGAGAGGAGAGAGAGAGAGAGAGAGAAGAGAAGGAGAAAAAGAGAGAGAGAGAGAAGGGCAATAAATCGAGAAAGAGAAGCCGACCGCAATGACCGAGCAGATATATACCGGCGAAGCCATTTGCAAGGCTCGAGACTAACCCCGAGTCTCGTCTTTCTCCTCTCTCTCTCTCTCTCTCTCTCTCTCTCTCTCTCTCTCTCTCTCTCTCTCTCTCTCTCTCTCTCTCTCTCTCTCTCTTTTCACGCGAATTATTCCAAGAGGATGTGCGAGAGAGCATTGTAAAGATTGCAAGTACTGTTTATATATTTCTAAACTATATAGTAAAATGCTGTGTGTATGTATATATATTATATATATAACATAATATGTATACAGTATATTATATATACTATATAATATATATATATATTACATCTGTATATAGACATACACCATATATATATATATATATACATGTAGTGTGTATATATACACTACACCATTTGGATTTGTGTAAATATATGTATTACAAATTGTGTATTTTCTGAAGAAAAAATGGACAGGCACATATCACAAATTGTGATTTCTTGGGGGAAAAAAAAGTGGCGGCCAGACAGAAAGTATATCTATATAAACATGGCTACGACGAATTTCAAAATTGAATTTTTTTAAATTCTATTTTATTAGTCTGTTTTTTTATTATTATTTTTATCTTTCTCTTTTTTTTTAAACGACATCTGTTCCGACGAAGATCGCTGGTCTATGACAAGGATCGAATAATCTCGAGTCTAATGTCCGCCATTTGCCGACGGACGTCGTCGACGACAACGAAAGTCCGACGTACATAAATAAACGCTCTTTATGAGGGGCGCTTTGCGAATATAAACTCTCTCTTTCTCTCTCTCTTTCTTTCTTTCTATCTCTCAATCTTAAGCTCAGTTACTAACTGGTATAGCGATGAAAAGTATCATTGACGACCCAATAACGCAAAGAACCATTTCTACCGATTTATTTTGATTTAGATACGTTTAATTTTTGCATAATCTAAAATACGCGTGTATAAATTGTGATATATTAATAATAAAATAATTTAGATTAGATGGTATTTAATAATAAAAAAAAAAAAAAAAACAAAAACAAAAAAAACATACATAACAGCGGATCTTTACGTTACTTCGATATCTATGAGATATAATTTTATAATAAATACGAACACATTTGTCAGTCGTATTCCTTCAAAATCACCGTCCATACTCAGATATCGCAACGAAGACGTATCTCACGAAGACTTAAAAAATATCAAAGATATAAAATAATTTATATTTTTTAAGTCTTCGTCAAAGTCAAATTTCTAAACTTTAGGATAATATAGGATTATAAACGTTTATTAGATGATAAAACAACGAGATCGTTCTCGGGCCTGCCATCGTACATTATCAAATAACGTCGGCTAAACGTTCAATTTCGACGAAACATTCGATAAGCGATTTGAGATATCCATTCCGCAAACCCCACTCGAGGGTTCATCGATCGATCTATTATAATTATCGATTGTAGCGATAGTTATTTACTTTCTTACTTATTTATCGGCACGGATGTGCAAGAACGATTAACTCGATCGAACGACCTTGAACGACCTCGACTCGTAAATACCAGCACAGGCCATGGCGAGACTCTCTTCTTTCGTAACTCGTCGTTGAGAGAAATTGTTACCTTTTTCTTTCTTCTTTCTTTTTTCTTACGACGACCCTTCCCTCTCACTCTTCTTCTCACCCTCACCGCCCCACCCGGACACACATATATATATATATATATCTTTTACCTCTTTCATTTTCACCCTCTTTCGTTTCTCTCAACATCACGATTTTGTTCGGTGGAACGTTACATTGTTCGCGATCCACACCGGTAAAGGAAGAGAGAGAGACAGAGAGAGAGAGAGAAAGAGAGAGAGCAGGTAGAAACGAAACCCTCTAGGATAACAAAGGGACCAGCAGTGCCTTTGTGTGTTTCCATAGAATGTGCCGGACTTTCGTGATTTCTCTCTCTTTCTCTCTCTCCTTCTACCCGAGGCCAAGTTAACAAAAGGGAGAAAAGAGAGAGAGAGCAACGATGCTTGGCGTCTCAAAACTTTTTTCAGCAAGCCTCGGACCCTCCCCCCTCCTTCGTACCAGATCGGAGCTCGAGAGAACACACCACCACATTATTACCACCAATACATACTACCATACACACCATCATCGACCATCGGCAACAGCATCGGTAGGCCTATGTATAGTATACCCAGAGCACACCCCAAGTGCCTCTCTCGTTGTTGCCTTTAGGTCGAAGATCCAGCCAGGCGCCCGATTAACCGCATTGTTACATTTTCCCAGGGCCCTACCTCTATCACCCTCCTCCTTCCTATCCCTCCATCCTTACTCATCTTCCCCCGATTATACATCGCTTAGTTTATGCCACTATTATACTTTATCTCTTTTTCTTTATCTTTCTTTTCCTTGCCCTTATTCTTATTCCCTTTACAATTTCTTCCCCGTTTCCCAAAGAACTCAGAAAAAATTCAATGATAGCGAATCAAAAATCTGATAAAATAAAAACTCTAACTTTTCATCTCATCATTTTCAATAACAATCACAATCAACTACCCCTATTCGTTCCTTTGTCGCTGGTGAAAAAAAAATAAAGATGCGAATTTCATTTCTTCCAGACGAGCACGAGATCTAACATGAATGAAGAATTTTGATTGATATAAATAAGTACTATTATATATATACAAATATTTTGATAAGTGTTGATAAATCAGGATTGCATCTGGATTGCGGCACTTGTATCGTATTTATTGATATTTTATTATAAGCACTGATAATTTTTTTTCTTTAATGAAATATCGACGAAATGTTTTTAAATGTACTGACCCAATGAATATCAGTTTTTTTTTGTTCATTGAATCATCTTTTCGCACATAGAATAGAAAATTCATTTTCATTCATAATGCTTCGCTCACAATGCTTTCTTATTCGTATCCTTTTACATAATCAGGAATTATAAGAATTCGAGAATTGGAATCGATATATTCAATGGTTACGGAAGATGAATTAAACGCAGCGTATAAAAACGAAAGATCGTTTTCGAAATATAATATCCAATCATAATTCCATCGAGAGTTTCACTCGAGTGAAATCGTCGACTCTCGTAAAAATCATTCCACCATTCGAATCGATTAGTAAGTTTTGTTTGTACAATATCGATTTCGTTCACAAGTATTGCTTTCTCTTTCTCTCTCTCTCTCTCTCTCTCTCGATCTTAAGGTCCGATTCTTTTCGATCGGAACGATATTGTACGTGCGACGAGTCACACTGGTCATAAAATTTTTGTTACGCACGTAAGAGGGCAATATTTTATGGTACGCCAGAATATAATATACTACAGACATCACCCGGTACGATCGGGAATGTAACAACGCGCTCTTCTCGTCGTTTATCTACGATCAAAATTATCATAAATTACGTTGCGGTTTAGTCGAAATGGAGGTCGATTTCCGAATACGATTATCATATTTATGGTAATAGTTGTCGTAACTTCGAGCTTATTACCAAGGGTAACGATACTCTCTTTCCGAACGCCGTTGAATCTTCTCCTGCATGACCGTGTGCGTTTTTAAGAAGGACTCGCTTGTTAAATGGAGTACGAATATGTATATGTAAGCATATACATATACACATACATATTACGTTTAACGGAAAATATCGATCGGGAGAACGGGAAACGAGGAGATAAGTGGGAGGGCTGAGTTTTCAACAATTTTTTTTCTTTCCTTTTTTTAAGACGATTAACGTGTATCCATGAAAGAAAGAAGGAAAGAAAGAAGGAAAGAAAGAAAGGAAAAAAGAAAGAAAGAGAGACCAGTTGCGCAACTACCAAGAAGAAAACCAGTTTCGCGAAGATCCAGTCTCGGTTGCGATCCGACTCATTCTGACCGCGTAAAAGGTGTACGCTTACGTTGGAACGACGAGATCGCTAACGTATAGCTTAGAACTTGCCATGAATATATCATGGAAAAGAGAAAAAAAAAAAAAAAAAGAAAAAAAAAAATATATATATATGTATATAATCCTTTAGCCTCAATCTTACGAGCTCGAAAATATCGTCGATATAATCGATATTTAGAAAAGAGCTTTTTTCTCGAAAATATTTTAGATATATATCGTTTGCCACGATATATATCCATGAAAATAATAATCATAATATACATATATAATATTACCATCCTACCTCAATCGACTCGATAATGACGTCAGTATTTAAAAAAGACAGGTTTTTTTTTCGAAAGGATTTCAGCGATCGTTAGAATGTAATAAAAAGAACGTTCGAGCGTATCTATAGTTGACTTGAAAAGTATTGACCTTGATTCCAAAGTTTCTTTCAAATTCTTCTTCGCTCGTTAGATTTTTTTTTTTTCTTTTTTCGTATATCGTATACTTCGATCGTTGTTTTAGGGGGAGGAGAGAGAGAGAGTGCGAAAGAAAAAAAGAAAAATAAAAAGGAAGAAAAGAAAAATGGAGCAAGTATTTAGGAGGAAGAACAACGACCTTGAGTCAAGGTTAGAAAGAAACGCGATAACGTGAGTTTCGTAGGCAGAGTTTTAAAAACAGAATTTGTAACTTTTTAATACACATACGAGCGCACGCATAAGATCGCAAAACCTTGAGAAAATAATTTCTGAAACGGGAATAAGATAAGTTTTGGTTGTAGAAGGAACTTACAAGGCCAACGCAGCTGTGGTTACGGCGTTTCCAACGTCGTTCGTGAGAAAACTGGTCTGTTGTTGGGCGGCACCCGGATGATGTTGCTGATGCTGTTGTTGTTGATGTTGCGTCGGTGGGGGTGGCGAGTGTTGTTGTTGTTGTTGTTGTTGTTGTTGTTGCTGTTGTTGCTGCTGCTGCTGTTGGGCTTGTTGTTGCTGTTGATGTTGATGATGCTGATATTGATGATGATGTTGCTGAAAGGGTGGCTGATGCGACGGCGAACCAGTCGCCGGCATCAGATTATAAGGCTGATAAAGCAGCTGCGGCTGAGCCTGCGTGCCTGCGCCGGCGGCCGCGATCAAAACCTGCGTTTGCCCTTGGTGTACGTGATGACCGTGATGGTGGTGGTGGTGCGGGTTACCCTGCGTAGCCGTCTGCGGGCTTACCGGAAGGACCGCCATTGCCGCGCCTCCTAACACTGGTGGCATGCTGCTTTTACGTTTTCTATCCTCTTCGTCTTCGTCGTCCTTCTTCCTCTCTTATCTCCGCACGTTCTCGGCACTATTATTATTACCGTTAATCCGTTAATTATTTTCGTCGTCGCTTTCGTCTTCGTATTCGTTATATTCACCAACACCTTTTTATCACTCTTTGTAATCATCGTACGAATCACAATACTACTCTTCGCCCTACCGCGAAGGTTCATCTCTCGAGACGGCTTCTTACGAACCGTCTCGAGTTTACCCGAATAACTTTTCCCTTCTTCGACACTTTACGTATTTTATTATTATTATTATTACTATTACTACTACTACTACTATTACTATTATTATTAGAAAGCGACGTGTCTCGACAATTTCTTTCTCCTCCAAAGGTGCCACGATTTTTCTTCGACTTATATATACATATATATTAACTTTTCTCTCGAGAATATCACACACATTGACGAGAAAACACACAGAGATTGAAAAAGCGCGGCGGACGACGACACTACCAACACATAAAGAAGAGAACACCAAAGGAAAAAAAAAAGAAAAGAAAAATTCTTAAAGAGGCACGTCAGTTGAAAACGATGAAACGGAGAAAATATATATATATATGCATCTCTCTCTTTCTATATGTGTGTGTGTATATATATATATATGTATATCACGCTATCACTGTTTCTCGAAAGAAATAATAATGGTAGAATAAGAAGAAACGAGAACACTACTGCTGACTTCTATCGTTTGGATTAACCCTGTCGCGCGTACTACTGCGTGCGACGTCGAGAGATCTGCACGGCGTGCGGCAAGAGAGAAGAGAGCTACGCGTCGACGATCAGCCACGAAGATTGCCGAACGTGCACGAAGCGACTCCTGCTAGTCGTCGATCGACCGACGAACAATGGTCGATCTCCCCGGCTTCTTTCTCTCTCTCTCTCTCTCTCTCTCTCTCTCTTTCCCTCACTCACCACTATCACATACATATACACACACACCAGCAGCAGCAGCACACTCCTCTCTCTTTCTTCCTCGTCGGCTCTCGATGTCTCGCCAACTCTACTTTTCTCTCTCTCTCTCTCTCTCTCTCTCTCTCTCTCTCTCTCTATCTCTCTGTCTCTGTCTTTCTTTCTCTCGTTTTTTTCTTTCGCGCCACGACCGATGCACCACTTCCTTCTTCACTCTTCCTCTATACTTTTTTTACAGCACACACAGTAGAAGATACATAGAGATATATATGTATGTATGTATATATGTACGTATGTATATATAAGAAGGTGATCCCTTGCGACGTGTCGGAAGAACTCGAGCGTTTAACGGAACGACCTGGCAAAAAGAGAGAGGAAAAAAAAAGGTTTCTCGCAACGAGAATGTGAGAAAAAGCAGGAAATTTACGGAGAATTACGCGCAATTGCACTTCACTGATTATACTCTAGAGAGAGAGAGAGAGAGAGAGAAGAAACAAAAAAAAAAGAACGAAACTGATTCCACTGATTCACTGTAAATCCGTTGGATATACCACACTGAAAACGTAGCTCACGAGATGATTAAGGGGGGGGGGGAAAAAAAGAAGGAAGAAAAGAAAAGAAAAGAAAAGAAACAAAGTTGTAACTTGTCCTTTCACGAAGAAAACACCAGTAAAAACACTAGGCAGTCTCTCTCTCTCTCTATATATACATATATCTATCTCTATCTTCTTTGCTCTGTCCGTCTTCGCTCGTTCGAGAAAGAAAATTCGCGTTTCAGCTGTGTCGAAGGAGTATACAAAGAGAAAGGGCCGGCATTATGCGAGATGAGATGAGATGAGAACGGTTAGAGAGAGAGAAGAAAAGTGGCCTGCGCAGTGCGTTAAGTTCTCGGCGCAGCACCGTATTTAGGGGAGAGTAGGACGTTAAAGTACATATATATATATATATATGTTTGTATGTATGTATATGTATAGCGTGTGTGCGTGTGCGCGAGCGCACACTTTCTCGAAGAGAACCAAGATCAGATCGCGTCGAAGGCCGCTACTCTACTGCGGCAGTCGGGAGAACTCGCCCCCCACCACGAACGGCGCGTCGTTGCTCGAGCCAGACTTCCCCCACCACTGATACTCTACCACCGCCGACACCCAAACGACCCGTTCTTCTCCCCACCACGCGGCTGCTCCCCACCCTACTTTATACCGCGCCGCCGGCTTTTCTCTCATTCTCTCTCTGTCCCTCGCTCGCTCTCGTTCGTTCGCTCCGACCCCGAACAGCGATGCAGCTCTCCCCCTACCATACCTCCACCCATGACCGAGGCGAACGGAGCGAGCGGTCGAGTCTCGAGGCACGATTACTCTCCGCTGCTGCTGCTGCTGCTGCTGCTGCTGCTGGTGGTGCTGCTTGGTGCTGCTGCTGCTTGGTGCTAGCTGCTGCTGCTGCTGCCTGGCTGGCACAAAAAAAATTCCCTGTGCATTCACGCACACGTGCTCGCGCGTGTGCCCGCTTGCTTTGCTTCTGTGCCTTGCCTTGCCTCGCCTCGCTTCTATGGATATCGTTCTACCGAAGTGCTCTGCTTTTTTTATCTTTTTAACATTTTTTTACTTTTTCCCCTTCTCTCTCTCGTTCTCTTCTTTCTTTATTTTTCTTTCCTTATCCTTTCTTTCTTTCTTTCTCTTTTCATCGAAACGAAGAAGGAAATATGTACCGTAGCACCGTCGCGTCTCACCGGCATTCAGAGTCATTGGAATCGACTCTACGGTTTCTGCTTCTTGGCCTTGATCCCTTTACGAAGCGAACGGAAAAGCCAATACCGGTATACGTCTAAGAAGTTAATCCTCTCGATCGATTGGCACATCTTTTCCGTTCAAAACGATATTTTACATCTCTTATACGTCGTACGTGATCACATACATGCACACAAATATATATCTTGAATTCTTCGGAATATACGTTTTCTAAGGAGAACACTTACGTAACGAGGAAATTACTGCTTTTTGTTGTTCGTTCGCGTCTCTTTTTTTTCCACGAGCAATTCTTCAAGTAGGTATCAAACGATTGAATCATGAATCGTTAAAAGAGAAAGATACGTGGGAGAGTTTACGCATGGCAAATAAAATCGTTCCAGTTCTAGATACGATCTCGTATAACTTCCAACACGGTAAAAATGAGAGAGAGAAAGAGAGATACTTGGAATGATCGAAAGAACTAGGTATAATTTCGCAAACATTTATTTATTCGTTGAGAATCTTTTTCGTAACGGGAAACTACGTTGTGTCATTCGATTGATTACAAGAAGTTTCATTTACTCTCTCTCTCTCTCTCTCTTTCTATATATATATATATATCTGTTTCTCTCTCTTTGACCTCGTGCAACTTTGAGAAGCAACCAAACTTCTACTACGAGATGCCGTGTGTCTAACCTTACTGGTCGATTCAAGAGCAACCTGTTTCTTCGTATTCGTTTCGAAAGAAGATCAAATTGGTTCGTATTTATTTCAAAGTTTATATTACGTTAAGAACGAAATGACAAGAATTTTGTTATTGTTGGAGTTGTTGTTGTTGTCGATTAGTTTACGACACAATTATGACTCACTTTATCCTCTTTTGAACGGTTTCCTTGTTTCGAATGGTTATTTCTACGGAGTAAGTGGTCAACAAGACAGAATACAATACCATAATTATGTCGAAAGATATGACCAGGTAGGAACAGGTCAAAAGTATCATCGGTTACTACTAAGAGGATTAGGTGAGGAAAAGTAAACTTGTCCTTTGTGTTTAGCAGGTATTTATGCGATAATGTCATGTCCTGATAGATAATTGCCCTTTGAAAGTTGTAAAAGTATATGATCCCTATTACCTACAGGTTATATTATTTCAAATGTAAACAAATTATTTTGTACACACATATATATATATATATATATACATAAAGTGTCAAGGCGCATTGCCATTTATGCACCGTAGTCGTATAATATTCATTGACATTGTTCGTAATCGACGAATATTCAGCATCGATTTATTCAAAAACGTATCTCTTCCCATCTTAATCGTAAAACGTCAATCTACGGTATCGACTTATTTGTTCATGCAGATTCACCCTCCTTCCGGCATTGGATCGGAAACACTCTGTATCTATAAATACTAATACGTTTTGTTTATAGTCGATTGTTTCATGATAATTAAATGTCTGTGGCATCCAGTGTTGCCAAATACACGCTTGATTAAAATATCTTACACATGGACGACGTGTGAAATAAAATATAATAGGTCTACAGTATTGGATTGACCGATGTAATTTCGATACTTTTAATATTTTATACTTCAATAAATAACAATAGTGTTCTACGTTAAAACATTTGATATATTGGATAAATCAAGAACATATCTAATGTAGTTACGTATCGATCGATTTGCAATAGTATAGTATGGTACATTAGCTTGATCCAATTTGTTTTTTTCTTTTGTAAATGAAATAGATAATATTTATTTACAAAAAATTTGATCAAAATAATGCAGTATATACTGTTGGCCTTCACTTTTTTTTAGAGTCCTATATATTTACGATCTTCCGTATAAGGATATATATAAATTCGATTCTAATAGAATGTTGTCATGAAAACATCGCGAATACGACGAATTTTCTATGTCTAATGGACAATTATAATATCGCTCCTCGTGCGATAACTCGAACGTATAGAGCGATTCGTAAGCGATTAGTCATTCGAGTATACGCGACGTGGCCACGCCGGCAATCATGGCGGCGGCGGCGACGGCCGACGACGCGCGAAAACATGCGGCACACGTGCACGCAAATCTACGCAATCGTCGCCGGCACCGAAGCGAATAATAATTTCATTTCGCTGAGCATTCGCGCTCGTGCACAGACACACATAAAACGCACACCCACCACACGGAGAAGAGAAACATACACGTATCCAGAGCCGCACGCAACCAAGCACCATCACCACATCCCCGATATCTCTCATTCCCTTATCGTGTTCGATTACACGACTGACGTAACGCTCTCGAATGGAAAATGCTATACCCGATAACATTTCTCCCTCTTGAAAGTGAGAAAAAGAATTTAGATGGAGAGAGACAAATATATGTTTTTCTTTGTATCTCCCGCTTTAAGACGAACAGGGCCAATCAACTTTCGAGAATCGTGTTCCACGTGACTTTGAGTAATAAAGTAATATTTTTAGCGAGTATGTTAAAGAATATGGCTGCTTTATTTGATAAATATGGAATATCAATAAAAGTGTACGACGATAAGAATTTAAACAAGCGATATTCAACCTAATGGATAAAGCGTTTTAATAAGATGTGCTTATTTCAGTTCTTTTTTCTTTCATTTTTTTTGTTTTTTTTTCTCTTTTTCTTTTTTTTTTTGTTAAATAATTAAGTAATTAAAAACGCACATGTAGACGTAATATAAATAAAATAAAATAAGTAATAAAAACAGAAAAGAGAACGAAAGCAATCGTTCGATTTGGTTAACGTCATACGAATGCATGTTGCGCAAGAAACGGAAGTCATAGGGAAATACTTAGTGATAATTTCTTTGAAAGTTAATCGCCATCGTTGTCGTCGTCGTCGTCGTCGTCGTCGTCGCATTTGCGTTTGATATTCTTCGTAACGAATCGGTTGAAAAGAGATAGACAGAGAGAAATAGAGAGGGAGAGAGAGAGAGAGAAAGTCCACTCGGTTTATGTAACATGGCCGAAGAGGGACATTAATGCTCGTTTCGAGTGCCTGCTGTCTCCCGCATTCCCGGCAGCTGTTTGCATTCTGCTTACATGCGTTACGACCAAGCACAAACACATGGAAATAGGTGTGCTCGCGCTCAAACACATCCTCGAGTATAATGTGTGTGTGTATATATATATATATATATATATACATAATACATATATGCATACATATATACATACTATAAGCAGAACAGGATATCGTACGTTGCGTAGTCCCACGGTGCGTGAACGTGTACATACACACGCAAATAACAACACACGAATACACCAACTTCATCCTCCTTCGTATTCAAGGACAGAGATCTGCACACGAGTGGCTCTCTTGTAGGAGCTGCTTGCTTTGCTGCTTGCTTGCCTGCCTGCCTGCCTGCCTGCTTGGTTGCTTGCTTGCCTTATCCGGATCGTTTTCCAAATAGCGGTATACTCGAGAATCTCGAAACTCGATACACTTTGTGATCAAGCCGACAATGATTTTCTACATTTACGTATGTGACGGAACGTGGGAAGGTGGGAGGAAGAGGGGTGAACGCGCGTGCACGCATGTATTATGCGTTATATCTATTTCTAATCTCTAATTCCGTTATTTTCTTTCTTCGCAACGTCGATTTTCAGTATATTTTTCGGTATATTTTTTTTATTTTCTTTTGTTTTCTTTATTTTTCCTTTTATTTCTTTTATTTATTTTAATTCTTATTTTTTCTCTTTTTTTTTTTCATAAGATAATATGCTTCCATGATGGAAAATAAACCGGTTTGTTTCCTTCCATTTCTGTTTGAGATTACGTTTACACTCCGTGAACCAATCGAGAGACTGTGAAGGTTGTGATCGTACGACTACAACGACAATGATAACGCGACCAACTACGATGACAACGACGACGACGATATCGTTTGGAAACGGGTAGATACGAAAGGTTAATATTTATTCAACTATATTACGCATTTCGCGTTTAGCACGCCGATAGTTTCTCTTTCGTTGTGTATTTTCATCTGTTTCACGACATGACCTCGCACTATTCGCAACCAGTTATAATAATCGTAGAGACGATACTCTCTCTCTCTCTCTCTCTCTCTCTCTCTCTCTCTCTCTATGCGTGGAATTTGGCACGTGGATTGAAACTATCGTTTGGGGAGAAGGATTTGCATAGGTGGGTGGAGAGGAATGGAGGGGGAAGGAGAGGGAATGGGAGGAGGGAGAACGAGTAAATTGGAATCACGTCGATCCCAGTCGCGGTGAGCGAACGAACGGCCTTGATCGGGGCTAAAGTACATACATACACGTGTACACATACATTCTCACTCATACAAACAGGATAGACCGCCGTCTCTGTCCTTTCGTTCTAACGCGCCCCACACATTTTCACCGAATCATCTATGTGTACGTGTATACTTGCGATGAGAGTTTCCACCCTCCCTTGAAAAGAGGAGGTGGAAGCTCTTGTGTTCGTACAAAGTTACTATCGATTCTATCCGGTGTCAGCCTCCCTCCCTCACTCTCTCTCTTTCTCTCTCTCTCTCCCTCTTTCTGTCTCTCACCCTGTATTCAACGTGCAAGCCACCCCTCTCGTATGCTGGTAAACGCATTCCATCCCCTTTCGAGAAGGGCGGAAGTGGAGGGTAGTCATCGCATACCAGGACTTTACCCCGTTTCTAGTTCGACATTCGTAGCGAGTTTCCTGTTATATTCTCTATTATATATAGCGTATCCTTTTACTGTTATACGTCGAACTATGCCGAGATAAAATAAAAGTTGAAAGTAAGATTTTTATAAATCAATGTGTCGGTATTTTTTTTCTATTTATTTATTTTCTTTTCGAAAATTGATATTATCTAAATATAAGGTAATATTTCCAATTAATTAATTAGTACATAATTAATATAAGTTTCAGATTAACTATGGATATAATTTTTTTAATAATAAAAAATTATTTTTCAGTCGTTCTCTTAATCTTCATCTTGAAATAACGAAATGTATTGGTTTTTTTTCTTTTTCTTATTTTCACCCAAAGTTTCATGATTCTGTCTATTAACGATTGAGATCAAAAGTGGACGAAATAATCGAGATAATGGTAGTCTCGTGCTTGACTTATTGACTCGATCGAGAGTCTAAGCTTTTATCTGAAGTTGTATCACGGGAAGAGAAAGAGAGAGAGAGAGAGAGAGGAGGAAAGCGAACGAACGTGAGGTTGATGAAACACGAGAGGAGATAGAGGTTGTGAGGGAAGCTGTCCCTCCCTCAGACTCTCCCTCTCAATCTCTCTCTATCTCTCTCTCCCTCATGACTCGTTCTCCGAACTTAGCTCGACACGAAACTAGCACGATGTGTTGGTGAGGTCATGGCACGGTCCCGGGCAACGATACAACGACCGAGGTATATACCTCGAACGCGCAGAACTCCTCCTCCCCCTTCTCTTCATCCCTCCCCAGCCCCACTCCTCATTCACCGTTACCCCCACCCTATTCGCTTAACTCCTCACCCGCTTGTCTCGTATAACTTTCATGGAAACTTCGCTCTCGAGAAGGTTCCACCGACTTCTCTCAAGGTCGTATGTATGTACTTCGCTTAAGGAATTTCGAGGTAGTTCTTTGAATTTCCAAGAATTCAGACCGCCTTAGTAAGTTCTTTTTTTCTACTTAAGTGAAATACTTTTCAATATACGACAGATAGAAAGAGAGAAAGATTCTCATTACTTGTGTTCCACGAATTCCTCTTCCCACAAGATACATCACATCGCGCGCGCGTGTGTGTGTGTAAACGTATACTCAAATTCGCATATTCGTTCTCGTTTATATCATATAACGTGTGTGTAAATCTATATACATGTATATCAGAGCGATGATAGCTGAGCACTGAGTCAGCAATTAATAGCTTTCGACTTTCGACGGTTTCTCCTCATTCAAGGTCGTTCCGTCACGATACTCGATGTAATAGCTTTCGTTCGTTCGTTCGTTCGTTCGTTCGTTCGTTCGTTCGTTCGTTCGTCCGTCCATTCGTTCGTTCGTTCGTTCGTTCGTTCGTTCGTTCGTTCGTTCGTTCGTTCGTTCGTTCGTTCGTTCGTTCGTTCGTTCGTTCGTTCGTTCGTTCGTTCGTTCGTTCGTTCGTTCGTTCGTTCGTTCGTTCGTTCGTTCGTTCGTTCGTTCGTTCGTTCGTTCGTTCGTTCGTTCGTTCGTTCGTTCGTTCGTTCGTTCGTTCGTTCGTTCGTTCGTTCGTTCGTTCGTTCGTTCGTTCGTTCGTTCGTTCGTTCGTTCGTTCGTTCGTTCGTTCGTTCGTTCGTTCGTTCGTTCGTTCGTTCGTTCGTTCGTTCGTTCGTTCGTTCGTTCGTTCGTTCGTTCGTTCGTTCGTTCGTTCGTTCGTTCGTTCGTTCGTTCGTTCGTTCGTTCGTTCGTTCGTTCGTTCGTTCGTTCGTTCGTTCGTTCGTTCGTTCGTTCGTTCGTTCGTTCGTTCGTTCGTTCGTTCGTTCGTTCGTTCGTTCGTTCGTTCGTTCGTTCGTTCGTTCGTTCGTTCGTTCGTTCGTTCGTTCGTTCGTTCGTTCGTTCGTTCGTTCGTTCGTTCGTTCGTTCGTTCGTTCGTTCGTTCGTTCGTTCGTTCGTTCGTTCGTTCGTTCGTTCGTTCGTTCGTTCGGTCTTAAGCGAACTGCAGCACGTGTCTTATCGTCGAATACTTCTAATCGATTGGACTAAGTACTTATACGAAGAAATTTTCGAGTTTCCCGAAGAATCACTATGAATTTCCGACTGCTTGACGTTAACCATTATCAAAGTTGGATAACATAACTTTGTTCGTTGTAAGAGAAGCCCGATTTCTAGGTTGAAAGTTCATTTCTGAGTTCCATCGTGCTTCCGGTGTATTTCTATAGCCATCGTATTTGGTTTCGTGACCTAACCTAACTCTTATATATACATATTTAAACTCGTTATTGCCGTAGAAAGGTCTTAATATATTATTTAAAATGTTATAAAGTTTATTAACAAGTTGATCGGTACTGTACGCTCATCAACAATTTATCATCGACGATTTTTTTTTTATCTGAATTCAAGAGAAATACGAAATGATGATGATCGGTGTTATTAAATTTTTTTCAACGAATGAATTGAAAGAAATTTTCAACAATTCAATATTACGGTCTATCCTGAATTTGTAATTTCTAAAATATTTATGCGATTATTCTCTATAACATGACGACGATATTTGCGTATGAACATAACCAATAGGATTTTATAAAAAACCAAGATAAACGTATTATTTCGATAAGAATTGATAAGGATATGGTTCTATCGAAACATATTACTCAATATTTTATCATCATAAGTTTATATTAATAAAACTTGTCGTCTTTTACCTAAACAAAACTCTTATCGCATATGTATTTATCAAAACTGAATTGCTCGTTAAAATTGGCACGTTTGACGAGTAAAGTTTTTTCGTTTAACGTTTAACACGCGATAACCTTTACGAACTTTTTCTTACGTATTATTTGTTTTTTCCTTTTTCTTTTCGATAATTTATAACAACATACATGTCTCTTTTCTCGAGGAAAAAAAAACAAAAATAAGGCGAGGCAGATGGATGGATGGATCGTTATTTGCAAGATGGTGTCGGCCATATTGGTCACGTGACATCGTGTACATGGGATGCGTAATAGAAAGAAAGAAAGAAAGAAAGAAAGAAAGAAAGAGAGAAAGAAAAAAAAACAACACGCAAGTACGTGCGTACACACGTATACGTACGCGACACGGCGACGTACGTACACGTAAAAAGAAAGAAAGACAAAAAACTCGTTACGTCCTCTTGTTCCGTGCTTGCATGTGGGTGGTTACGTGAATGCGTGCGTGCGTCGTGCGTGCGTGAGTACGTGCGTGCATGTGGCGCGTGAATGGGAACGCGTGAGTTCGAGGAAGAAAACAAACGAATCGATCTTTCCTAAGCGTTTTTGTCGAACGCGATTGGTAAAAGTATTTGGTAGGATCGTCGACGCGACGTTTCAAAGTATACAACATGTATGTATATATACGTATGTAGAAAACGTGCCTTGTAAACTACTGTTATTTGAAGAAAAGGAACGAATTTCTAACGTTCAATTTATATACGTAGGGAAGCATGTATATACAGGGTGTCCCATCCTCCCTATCATTTGATATTTCGCAGACAATTTATATTCGTAATAAATGGTATTATAAATTGTTTCGAGAAATTCGTTTTAAATAATTAACTTATCCTGTATTGGGAGGGTGATTGCAGGCAGAAGAGGAGAACGAATTTTCTCTAGGTGAACGTGCCTCGATTAATAATAATTTAAGATAATTTTAACCTTTCGCCTAATTTCGAGGCATAATCCGTTGACACCATAACACCACTTTGGTTTTTTAAAATTTGATAGTTCAAAGTTCCGTATAAGAAATAAAAAAAAATTAAAAAAGAAAGACAAAGGTCACCTTGAGAGCACGTTCAACGAAGAGAAAATATGTGACTACCGTTTCCTCCTCTATCCTCCATCACTCTCCTTACGGAAACGAGTCGTATTATTTGAAAAAAAATTTTCGAAACGAACTTGCAATTTGGGAAATAATTGCGTGAGAAATTTCAAATGGGACACCCTGTACACACACACACACACACATATATATTTCGCGAGCAACGTTAACTACGTTTTGGCACGTGACAGGAAACTTAAAATGCTTTGATTACGTTCAAGGAACGTTAACGAGAATTCTACTTTATTTTTCTTTTTTTTTTTTCTTTTTTTTTTCTTTTCCTTTTTCTATCGGAAATACTATTTTTCCTGTGTTCAAAAAGGTCAAAATGATCGTTGAGATTAAATTAGAAGGGAAATTACGATTACGTGATATCACGGGCTCTTGAAAGAGAAAAAAGAAAGAGAGAGAGAGAGAGAGAGAGAGACACCTTATTCAGAGTTTTGTAAGAGAAAAGATAAAGATAGAATATTAACTTGGCAAAGTAATATAATGGATCGTTGTTGCTAGAACGAATATACCCCTTTATTATTACCATTCGTTGTCGCGTACGTGTTTCCTGTTGCGTTGGCAAGACGAATACATGCTTCTATCAATTCCCCCTTTGAGTCCGTGCATGCTTGTCCCTTATGACCTTCGCGCTTCTTTCTTCCTCTCCCCTTCTTCGATATCCCCCCCTTCTCTTTCTCTCTCTATCTTTTTCTCCTTTTTTTTTTATACTATCGCAGCCATTGTTGCGTCGATAACAAGACACTATAAGTAAATGTCGATCCAAAGGCGTCGTATCATTGAATGACCTACATTACTTGATAAACTTTAAAAAAGTACTTTCTTCGATATATCGAGGCAAAGTTTGTCGACTTTATTCACCAACATGCAAGTTTAGTTTAAACGTATAGCTACGCGATGTACACGTATATATACACGTATGTATACGTCATCGTCAAGAGACAAGCGAGATTATTATGAAAAATTTGTACATATGAAAATACAGGCAGGTTGTCTTCGAAATTGTGTATTGTTCATCGGCTTATGTATGAACTAAATTATATACCCTATTTAAAACGTATGCATGAGAGAAAAATGTTCGGATTAATTCGTACCTTGGATTGAAGTTGAAATATGTTTGCTATAGACTCTAATAGTCTGTCCCCAAGTTCTATAGGCTAAACTTTTTAGGAATATATCGCTTTAACCCTTATCACAGCTCGTATATCACACTGAAGACGACAATAGAAATTTCTTATAAAACTCTTATGTCATCTCTTAGACGAGAACAATGATCATTTGTTATTGTGACAAAGTATATCTCTTAGTAGATTATTTTTATTTATTATCGTTATCGTATGTATCAACAGAGACGAGAAATAATTATCTTTTCCTTTCTCTTTCACTAGGCCAAATACGGACGCAATAACATTGGGGAGGAAAACGAAAAGAAAAGAAAAAAAAAAAGATCTAGTTCAAAGGATCATATTAGTAATTATAAAGTGGTTGTTCACATATTATCATCATCATTATTATCATTATATTTGTTCCCATATCTGTTTAATTTTTTTTTTTTCCACTAATACTATATATACTTCCTGATCTTTAATCCTTTTTCTTTTTTAGATTAACTCGCGCCTGTTATTGCAACATACCGATTAGATATGTAATTTTCCTTATTTTATCTATCGAAGTTAGATATCTCGTCTGTTGCGATAGTTCGATACGCACAATTATACATATTCCTGTTACAATATATTTTCATTATTACGTGTTCAATAAATTCTTCTGGTTTCTATTTATAAACGATACGTGTTTGTATGTATTATGTACTATCGTCGATAAATGGATCTATTTCTCAGACATTATCATGTTTGATTCTATAATATATTCGTTGGGTGCAAAGTAGTCGCATATCCATTGATGATATGCTTTATTGTTTCTGTTATAGGCGTGACATATTCAGCGCTTATCGTCATTTACTTTGTTCTCTCTTGATGCTTACATTACTGTAGTTTTTTTTTCTCTCCATAATATTAATGTTCTAACAATTTTTTCCTTCCAAACGAACCCCTTCCTCTTTATTCACTCTTTCACTATAAAATAACAATCTTTTTTCCGAACGAATTAATTCAATATAGATATATTACGTTCATCAAAGTTCATAGGTTTGTAAACGTAAGCATTGTTCAAATAGCTCTAATAGAAATATTCATGAGGGTACCATATACATATGCCTGTATATTATTAATAAAATTATTCATCGCGTATATATATGTAGTGAGTGCGTGTGTGTATGCGTATTGACTCAGTAATGATATTTTCTATGTACCGTAACACGTTATGTGGGTCAATAAATGGAACACGAAACCGTTAAAAGTGACTTTTAGTTGAAATCATCTCTTGATCGAAAAAGAATTATTATTATTTTTTCTTTATTCCTCTTTGTTATTCACTTTTCGTATCACATTGAATCGTTCGTGTAGGAGTTTCAATCGGTAAGATGTGTCTCTCTCTCTCTCTCTCTCTCTCTTCCTCCTCTTTTGTCTACACACATACAAATATACGTCATGTCGTTCGTTCGCTTTGAGATTACATAATACACGAAGCTCTCTCTCTCTTGGGCGCGATGAACGGGCAGAACAAAAGAATTCCTACATGCGGATATGCGCCATTGAAAAAGCACGCGGTGCTACTTCCTTCCTAGCCAGTAGGAAGAAAGAAGAGAAAAGAGGAAACGGTGTTTTCTTCGGTGCGACGTCCTCGATAGTATTACCAAGAACGTCTGGAATTAACCGGTTGGCTAGACGGGGAAGAAAAGAGAAATGGCGGAGTTCGACGAACATGGCGACCTTGCGACCTTTTCTCGTTTAATAAACGACCGAATCCTTTTTCTTTTTTCATTCTCTCTCTCTCTCTCTCCCCTCCCCCCTCTTCTCTTTCTTCTTCCTCGTAATTCTTAGATTTTTGTCTTATCTCTTTCTTCCTTTTCTTTCCTTCCTCAATCAATCCGATCTTCTTTTCATTATTCAGATAAAAATTCTATCAAATTGTCTCTATCGATTTCTTCGTTATATTACTTTTTTTTTCCTCTCTTTCCTTATCATTTCTAAAAGAATCCGATCGAATTAACGATTCTATTCGAACGACTTTTTTTTTTTTCTTTCCCTTTTATTTGTCATTTAAAAATTTTAAACCACCGACGTCCAAATGTAATAAATTGGGATATAATAAAGTCGGAAACTTATTAAATATAATTAATTGCAATCTCAATAAAAAAAAGAACTAGCGAAAAGATAATTTAAAATTTATTCTTTATTTTCTTTCTATCGAGCAAAAATAAAAGTTGTCGATAGCCGCAGGGGGTCAGCGGGCGGGTGAGTGGGTGGGTGGAGGTGGAGGAGTTACTTCTTTACGAACGATGAATTATCCGAATTAATCATATTTATCGAGTAACGATGACAGAAAAAAAGGAGAGAATCTTTTATCTCCTTTTATCATTTTTACTTATTGACATTTTCTTCATCAGCAATTTTTTTTTGTTTTTTATAAACGTATACCGGAAGTCAGTATCTCGATAAAGAAGAAGAAGAGTAGTCAGAAGAAAGAAAAAAAAAGACTAAACAAAAATTCCCCCTTGCCGCCCCGTCAATCCACCCTCAAAAAAAGAGAAGATAAAAGATAAAGCTAGTCAAGAAGTAGACAAGAATCAACGATGTTTGTTAAGGGTTTTTCCCCTTGAACGGATCCCTTCAAGATAATCTTATTTCAAAATAAGAAAAAAAAATAAGAAAAAAAAAAAAGAACAAAAAAAAAGAGATTGCCGATCTGGAGAAAAGTATCGAAAGGGTACTAGTACGAGTATCAGCATCAGCAACAGCAACGGCAGAAGGAGAAGAGGAAGAGGAAGGAAAAAAAGGGAGGATGAGAGGAAGGGGAAGGGGAGGGAGGAGGAGGAGGAGAAAGAGAAAGAAAAATAAAAAGAAAAAGAAAAAAAAGGTAGCTCGTTAAGGCATGACCTTTACTGGCGGGAACGGAACGTGGGAGGTTATAATACACTTAGTGCACGCTTTCGTTTATCGCAGCGCGCGCACATAGCTCTCTCTCTCTCTCTCTCTCTCTCCCTCTCCTTTTCTTCCCTCCTCCTTCCACCTATCCCTCGCCCTCTCCCACAGCCACTTTATCTCTCTCTCTCCCTCTTTTTGTCGCGTTGCTTTTCTTGCTTCGGGATGAATGCAAGTCGTAACAGGCACGCGGTGTACTGATGAGACGTGGCTGTAGAATGGAGGAAGGAAGGGGAAGGGAGGAGCTGAACGAAGAGAGAGGGAGAGAGAGATGTTGGAAACGCGAGACGAGCTGGATCCGCGCATGACCGTGTCTACCCGTAAGGTAGACAAAGATGGCTGTATAGACGCGGCTGCAGTTGGACCGAAAGAGACAGAGCTATATATATATGTATGTATATACAGAGAGAGAGAGAGAGAGAGAGAGAGAGAGAGAGAGAGAAAGAGGGAAGAGGACATAGTCGCACCACGAAG